AGGAATATTCAGAAATGGTCAAAAAAAAAATAGTCTGGGGACGATGTTTCTAGTATTTCTTGACCATTTTGGAGTATTGTCTGACTATGCTTAATGTTTCGTCGAAAATTTCCCTGCAGGGGGACACGCCCGACTTAACTGTGGAGGGACAGGTCCGACTTACGCATACCTCGGGAGCGGCCAAGAGGGGGGTGTCCAAGAGGAGGTGGGGTGCAAATCATGACCAGCGGCACGTGCGCGGCCCAGCGGGGGGGCCAGGGACGTAATGAAACAAGAAGAGGCGCCATGAAATCTGAGGAAATATCATGGCCCCCGCCATGATATCCACCCCCCCGTAGTCATCACCCCCCTCTTTGTCGCCCACGACCAACGCATCATTCAATATCCCAAAAATTGCAAGCAGTTCAAGCAACCTTTTGAGGGCGAAGAGGGCGGTTGAAAAGTACCGCAGGGTTCTGGGCCACAGAACGATTGTGAGTCCTGGAAAGAGGCAACGATGGCAACGAGGGCCCTAGTCGTCCCCCCCTCTCTGCCGCCCCCGAGCATACCCAGAGACCTCCGACCACCCGACAGCCCCGAGCCTCGGGGCCCCAGGCCCCGCGGCCCCCTTCGGTGGCAGCGGCGCCTCGTCCCGAGCCAGGCCTGCGGATGGCCTCGAAAACGGCGTGTCCCCCTGCAGGGGGATTTCCGACGAAATAGATATATATAAATATATATGCTCGGAAAAGCGCCCCCAGGCTATGCTGTGACCATTCCTGTAGATTCCTCCTGTAGGGTCGGGCGCGTCCCCCTGCAGGGGGGCGTTCGACGACAAATAGACAGTAGCCAAAAAATGCTCCAAAAAAGGGCCAGAGGATGCTCGAAAAAACGTCCCCGGGCGATGTTTGGACCATTTCTGAAGATGCCGCCTCCTGTGGAGGGACGGGCCCGACTTCAGGATCGCCCCAGGGTCCGGGACACGGCGGCCTTCGGGGGCCGAGAGGCGCTGACAAATGTCGGGTTCCACGTTCTGGGGTCTCTGGAGGCCTGGGCAGCCGCCGCTGTGGAGGGCCAGCGTCGGGGGGGGGAGGCCAGCTCGGGCGGGGAAGCATCGAGCCTCCTCCTCCTCCCCGCTCCTCCTTCTCCTCCTCCTCCTCCTCCTCCTCCTCCTCCTCCTCCTCCTCCTCCTCCTCCTCCTCCTCCTCCTCCTCCTCCTCCTCGAGCCAGAAGCGGCGACACATCGCCGACAGACCGCCGAGGAAGGCCCCCGGAAGCGAACCCGCAGGGTCCGCGGCGGGGTCCGGGCTCTCGGGCCCCACATCGGCGAGCGGTGGGCGATTGTCGAACACATCTACAACTACACGCAGCAAAACTGCACCTTGTTGCGGGGACCAGGGGTGGCAATCATAATTCGATTTGGCGCGTCGGTCGGTCTGGGTGGACGGACACCGCCTCACGACCTACCATGGAAAGCGATGGCTCAGGGGGGGGCGCATCGACCCCCAATCATTGGGGGTCGATGCGTCCCCCCCTGAGCCCAGAGTCATCGTGCTACTAGAAGGAACGCTGAATAGGAACGAAGGGCCTTGTTCGGCCACGGCGAGCCTCGGCCACGAGTATGCTCCCAGGCCTGCATTTCTGAGGAGCGGCCTAGAAATCAGAGCCACTTCTGAACCCAAAGCGGTCCTGCTCTCAACATCTTGACTGTGTCCCCCTCCTGCCGCTGCCCCCGACGGTTGCCGGCTGCCTTACGTAATAGGAGAACAAACAATGCCATAAGCATACAAACTTGGAGGTCCGCGCGGATTTCTTGGATCTGCGCTGGACCTCCCTCCCTGGAGCGCGGAGCGCGCCAGGGGCGGCGTTGGAGGCACCGCCAGTGGGCCCCGGAATCCGCGCGTACCTCTGAGTCCCACCAGCACTTTGGGCTACCCCAGTCGGCCCCAAGAGCGCCCAAGAGCGCCCAAGAGCGGCCCGAGAGCGCCCCAGGAAGGCCCCCAGAAGTCATTTTGACGGCCCCAGGGGGGGGACGCAAATTGGAACGTCCCCCTTTGGATCGACGCCCTCCAGGATGGCCCCAAGAGGCCCTCTAGGGCTCCCAAAAGCACCCAAAGAGGGCTTCAAGAGAGCCACCAAGAGGGCCCCAAGAACCCTCAAAAGAGCCACAAGAGGAACCCAAAAGAGTCCAAAGAGGGCTCCAATAGGCGAGTTAGAGGACTATGTACTCGTCCTCGCTGTCCTTCTCCTCCTGCTCCTCCTCCTGCTCCTCCTCCTCCTCCTCCTCATCCCCATCCTCATCCTCATCCTCATCCTCATCCTCATCCTCATCCTCATCCTCATCCTCATCCTCATCCTCATCCTCATCCTCATCCTCATCCTCATCCTCATCCTCATCCTCATCCTCATCCTCATCATCCTCATCATCATCATCATCATCATCATCATCATCATGCATCATCATCATCATCATCATCATCATCATCATCATCATCATCATCATCATCATCATCATCATCATCATCATCATCATCATCATCATCATCATCATCATCATCATCATCATCATCATCATTAGCATCAGCATCATCATCATCATCATCATCATCCTCATCATCATCAGCATCATCACCATCACCACCAACCACCATCATCATCATCGTCATCATCAGCAGCAGCATCATCACCATCAGCAGCATCATCATCACCCTCATCCTCATCATCATCCTCGTCCATGCACTCATTGTTTTTAGATTCCTTGTCCTTGTCCTGCTCTTCCTCGTCGTCGTGACCGTCGTCGTCAACGTATCACTCCTCATCCTGCTCCTCCTCATCATCATCATCATCACCATCATCATCATCATAATCATCATCGCCATCATCATCATCATAACCCTCCTCCTCCTCCCCCTCCTCCTCCTCCACCTCCTCCTCCTCCTCCCCCTCCTCCTCCTCCACCTCCTCCTCCTCCTCGACCTCCTCTTCCTCTTCATCTTCCTCCTCCTCCTCCTCCACCTCCTATTCCTCCTCTTCCTCCTCCTCTTCCTCATCCTCCCCCTCCTCCCGCTCCTCCCCCTCCACAATTACACAATATGAATACTACTCTCCCACTTCCCCTGATGGCGTCCGGAAGATGTTCGGCACCCCCCCGCGTACTGTTTTTTTACACACAGGATTCCCCGGAGTTGGGTTTTCGCTTGTGTTTTTTTCTAAAATGCTGCTCTCGCTGAGGCGCTGGCCTAATTTTCGGGCTCCCGCTCCTTCCGAATCGTGTTCCCGCTGCAGCGCTGGCCTCATTTCCGCGCTCCCGCTCGTTCCGAATCGTGCTCCCGCTGCAGCGCTGGCCCAATTTCTGCGCCTCTCGTTGTTCCAAAACGTGCTCCCGCTGCAGCGCCGACGTTTTCGATCCTTTTTAAGAAGCCCCAAATCTAGAAAATGATCCCCGGCAAAAACATTGGAGGTGATTACACATCCGGTGTCGATTCGTTGATTTTTGGGGCCGCAGAAAGCCCCCCCCCCTTTTGGGCGGCGTCCTTTTCCGCACAGGATTCCCGGGAGTTTGGTTTTCATCTATGTTTTTGAAAATCCGAGCCTTTCCGGTCCTTCAGAATGTTGCTCCCGCTGCAGCGTTCGTCCTATTTTCCGCGCCGCTGGTCGTTCCAAATCGTGCTGCCGCTGCAGTGCAACGGTTCCCGGCCCCATGCTATGATATGCTCCGCTCCAGTGGCGTTCTTCGGCTCTTCAACAATGGTGCTCCCGCTGCAGCGTTGGTCCCATGTCTGCGCCTCTGCTCATTCCAAATCGTGCTGCCGTATTGTTTTCTTGGCACTACGGCACTCTTCGGCTCTTCAACATGTCGCTCCCGCTGCAGCGTCGGTCCCATTTCTGCGCCTCTGGTCGTCGTCGCCGCCGTCGTCGTCGTCGTCGTGGTTGTCGTCGTCGTCGTCGTCTTCGTCGTCGTCGTCTTCGTTTTCATCGCGCCGTCGTCCTCCTCCTTTCCCTCTTAGGTAACAGGGTCAGATGCGAAGCCCGATTCGGTGAGAGGACAATGAAGTAGCTCAATGGGAAGGGATGGGAGGGAGGGGTAGGATGTCAGATGTTGACGCGAGCGCACCTAGCTTGCCCTCCTCCCCTCCCTCCCCTCCTCCTCCTCATTCCCCTCCTCCTCCTCCTCCTCCTCCCCCTCCTCCCCCTCCCACCTCCCCCTCCCTCCTCCTCCTCCTCCTCCTCCTCCTCCTTCCTCCTCCTCCTCCTCCTCCTCCTCCTCCTCCTCCTCCTCCTCCTCCTCCTCCTCCTCCTCCTCCTCCTCCTCCTCCTCCTCCTCCTCCTCCTCCTCCTCCTCCTCCTCCTCCTCCTCCACCTCCTCCTCCCTCCTCCTCCTCCCTCCTCCTCCTCCTCCTCCTCCTCCTCCTCCTCCTCCTCCTCCTCCTCCTCCTCCTCCTCCTCCTCCTCCTCCTCCTCCTCCTCCTCCTCCTCCTCCTCCTCCTCCTCCTCCTTCTCTTCCTCCCATCGCCCCCCCTTGGGCCTCAGGGATGGCCCGGAAAGGCCCCCAAAGGTCACCACCTTCCTCCTAGAGATCTGTATGTTCGTCCTGTTTGCCCGCTTTGTTTGACTGCGTATGTCGCTTCGTCCCCTTTTCCCGCCAGCTCTCGTGGGCAAGGTTTCTGAAGGGGCTGAGTTGTTTTGGCGGCGAGCGCGGGGAGGAAGTGAGAAAGGGCGGGCATTCTCAGAAAGCTCGGAAATCCCCTGGCCTTCTTAAAAATTGTCTTGATCCTTCCCCGAAGACACGGAAGACCTCTCAAAGGCCGGGGGGGCTTCTGAGAGGCCCCGCCGTCTTCTGAGGGGGCCTTCTCCTTCTCACTTCCCCCTCTCTCGCCGCCTAGATACGCGAAGGGTGAAGGGTCTGCCTGTCTGTGTCCGACGACGACGACGACGACGACGACGACGACGACGACGACGCTGCCCGTTTCCCTGCCAGGAAGGGGGAGCCCAGCGGGCGGGCGGGCGGGCGCAGCGCGCCCGGCCTGGTGCAGCGAGGTCAGGTACAGGGCGGCGTTGCAGCCGCAGCCCGCCTGTGCCGCCGGCCGCCCCCCCGGGGGCCCGAGGGGGGCCCTCCGCGGCGGCGGAGGGCAGCGAGGGCCTCCCCGGGGGGGGGGGGGCCCGAGCAGACCTCCTCCCTCGCCTTTCGCTTCCCCCCTCGCGGGCGCGGCGAGGTCGGGTGCAGGGCGGCCTCGCAGCCGCAGTCCGCCCGCGGCGGCCGCCCCCTGGCCCGAGGGGGCCCTCCACGGCGGCGGAGGGCAGCGGAGGTTCAGATGGGGTCCGAGGAGGCATCCTCCTTCTCCGTATCCTCCTCCCTCGCGGGCGCGAGAGAACACCCAGCCACTCCAGCTACCACGCAGCCTGCCGAGCGCCCTGGGCGTCTTTGCTCTGCGGGGGGGCGGCGGAACGGCGCAAGCCCTCTGAATAGACGGGGTCGGTGGATCACACCGCATCGCACATGCATCGCCGATGCATCGGCGATGCATCAGCGACGTCGGCGTGCAGACAATCGGGCTCCGCATCGCGCCGCATCACCGATGCATCGGCGACGCGGAGCCATCCTCCGACCCCAGCTTCTCCTACCCCACCTGGGAGGCCTGGGGCAGGGGCGACGACGGCGGCGAGGAGGGCAAGAGCCCTCCACTGGACAAGCGCGTGACACTACTCGCAGAGTCACTGCTCGCAAGTGGCCCGAATCCGCGGCAGGGGATACGCGATCCATCAGGTTGACGTAAGCGTGTGTGCTCCAGACGGTTGCGAGTAGGCACTTTGCGAGCAGGACCTAGATGGAGCGCGCCCAGAGAGCCGATGGGGGGGGGGCGCCTCTCGCAAGGGTCCGCGCGCCGGGGGGGGGGGAGGGGGGCGAAGAGGCGGGGGGCGCACTCGCAGAGCACGGCCCGAGGCAACGGCGCGGACGAAAAGGGGGGGGGAGGGCAGGGGACGCAGCGAGGGAACGCGGGGGCCGTCAGATCCCGGGAGACGTCATGGACCCCGCCAGGACTGCCGCATCACCCCCCTCCTGGCCGAGCCCAGAGCGAGGCCTCTGATCCGGGGAGATGTCATGGCTGGGCGGCGAGCGAGGGGGGGTAGTGAGAGGGGGCGGGCCCTCTCAGAAGCTCGGAAGTCCCCGGGCCTTCTGAGAAGTTCTCCAAGCCATCCCCGAAGGCACAGAAAACCATCTCGGAAGGCGCGAGGACTTCTGAGAAGTCCCGCCGCCTTCGGAGCAGGTCTTATCCTTCTCCTTTCCCCCTCTCGCTCGCCGCCGAGTGGCCCCCGCCATGACTTCCAACCACCCGCCCAGTCATCACCCCCCCCCTTGGACGAACCCCGAGCAGGGCCTCGCGGGGGCCTCCTCGCGCGCGCTCCAGCGGCTGCGCTTCGCCGAGGGTGGGCTGAGCTCTGGGGGGGGGGGGGAGGCGCGGGCTGCCCTCGAGCAAGGCCAAAGAGGAGCAGCATTGGATCAATAGCGCCGTGGAACTATCGCAAGAGGCTCGCAGCGAGTACAGGCGCGCAGTGAGCTCGTGCTTGAAGGGGCCGAATACTTCGTCCACGCAGCTTCGACTCGGCATTCCATCGCTACCGCAACAGCATTGCAAAAAATAATGTGGCGCTCCAACCCTGCACACCAGCGAGAGGTAATGTCTCAGATGTTGTTCCCATTGGCAGTCGTGTGCTCCAGGTCGGTGAGTGGGGGGGGGAACAAGCAGATGGTACACTCGACCAGGATAGTAAGGATGCCCGGTAAGGATGCAAGGACCTTGGAACGCCATGCTGACGCGTTCCGTGCGGAGCGCGGCAGAATACCGAAGGATGCCGAATACCGGAGGGGGAAGGATGCAAGGCTAGCCTTGGAAAGCTGTCCCATCCTTACTATCATGGTTGACTGCACGGGGACAGGATGGACTGGGAACAGAGCGGAAAGAAATGAGAGCACTGAACAGAACGAGGGAGGGGAGCAAAGGCGGAAAAAAATGAGAGCACTGAACAGAGCGGCAAGAACGGCAGAGGGGAGGGGGAGGGAGGGGGGGAGAAGGAGGAGGAGGAGGAGGAGGAGGAGGAGGAAGAAGAAGAGGAGGAGGAGGAGGAGGAGGAGAAGGAGGAGGAGGGGGAGAGGAGGAGGAGGAGGAGGAGGAGGAGGAGGAGGAGGAGGAGGAGGAGGAGAAGGAGGAGGAGGAGGAGGAGAGGGGGGGATAGGCAGGAGAGAGGTGGGGAAGCAAGAGGGCCAAAGGGAGCACTCCAGGCCGTCTGAATCCGACAGCCCCTCGGGGCCCCCCGCACACATCGAAAAAATCACCCACGCGATCCCGGCCCACCTGCAGCCCCTCGGAGGAAACCCTTATGCCACCCACCCGCCCATGCAATCCACTCCTTACGTTTGTGAAACAGCGTGGGGTTCTCCGACATACGACGCCGCGAAAAACCGAAACGTCCTGAAAAAAACACAACCCAAACCACAAACTAACCATTACAGTGGATTTCCCGAGCCGGGTCGATCCGTTAGGACCCTTGGGCCCGAAACAAGGCAAAATCCCTTCATGCTCGTTGTTCGCGACACCCATATGTCAAGGTATGCGCTTGGCTGCGATGAAGCAAGGGGGGAGTGACAAAAGGGGGAGACGAGAGGGAGGAAGAGGAGAAGGAGGAGGAGGAGGAGGAGAAGAAGAAGAATCAGGAGGACAGTCAAGAGGGGGATGATGGAGGGGGGGGGTAGGACGAGAAGGAGGACGACCAAGAAGGCGGGCCGGATCGGAAGGGGGTCCACCCCGCTCATGTCGACTGTGTACCGCAGCGTCTTCCCGAGCAGCTTCATGGCGACGTAGTTTTTGTTGTCGTAGGACCCGTCCTGACCGCCGGTCGCACCAGGGTAGCCATGCCTCCTTACACATCCGAAGTATCTATCGCACTCCTTGCCCTTCTCCTCCTCATCCACGTCCTCGTCCTCCTCCTCCACTCCCCCTCCTCCCCTCGCACATCCTTCAGTTCCTCATCGTCATGACAGTCAAGATCACTGTCAACACCACCACCACCACCGTATTCATCACATTGTCACCACCATCGGCACCTTCACCATTATCATATCGCCACCACCACCGATATCATCAACATCATCAATACCATTGTCGTCGTCATCGTCGTCATCCTGATCCCCACCATGATCATCATCGTCATCATAATCATCATCAGCAGCAGCATCGCCATATTCATCAAAATCAACAGCAAACTTACCAACAGCAAGAGCAACAACCGCAACTACAACAACAGCCACCTCCTCATCAGCATCATCAACACCAACAATAACAACAACAATAGCGTTTTCCTCATCATCAGCAGCAGCATCAGCATCCTCATCCTTGTCAGCATCATCATCAATCTAAGCAGCAGCATTATCATACACAGCATGTGCATCTCAGCCATCATCAGCAGCAGCAGCAGCATCATCAGTAATAAGTTCATCATCCTAATCATCATGAGAATCTGCATCATCGTCAGGATCTGCATCGGCATCATCATCATGATCATCATCATCATCATCATCATCATCATCATCATCATCATCATCATCATCATCATCATCATCATCATCATCATCATCATCATCGTCATCGTAATCGTCATCGTCATAGTCATCATCTCAACCACCATCATCAGCATCATCGCCTTAATCATCATCAGTATCATCATCAGCAGCATCAGCATCATCAGCAGATGTATCAGTAGCATGTCATCATCATCTTCAGCATCATCATCATAATCATCATCATCGTCATCCTCAGCATCATCATCATCCTCATCCTCATCATCATCATCATCATCATCATCATCATCATCATCATCTGCATCATCATCAGCATCATCAGCATCATCGTCACCAGCGTCATCGTCATCGTCATCAGCAGCAGCAACAGCGTCATCAGCAGACTCAAAGTCATATTAATCTTCATCCTTCCTCAGTTTCATCATCAGCAGAAGCAACAGCACCTTCATCATCACAATCACTCCCATCATCACAATCATCACCATCATCACCATCATCACAATCACCATCACTATCACCGTCACGAGCATCATCATGATCATCATGATCATCATCATCACCACCACCACCACCATCCTTATCACCATCATCATCAACAACATCAGCATCAACATCATTAGTTTCCTCATCAGCCTCCTCATTGGCTTCATGTTCATCTTCATCATCCTGATCAGTATCTTCTTCACTCTGGTACCATGATCCTCCTCATCCCCCGTTGCCCTCCTCATCATCACATTGATTCCCTCCTCCTCATCCCGTCTCCTCCTAAGTGCATTTCCACCTGCACGACTGTAGCATGCCCGACGTGCAAGGGACGGATCGAGGGCGGCGCCACAGCCAGGCGGACAAAGGCAGGTCAGCAAAGCTGCGGGCGACTCCGGAAGAAGGAAAAACGCCAACAGCGACCCGGCAGAAAACTAACGAGGAGGAACAGGAAGGTTTCACGTCGCAGAGCCACGCTCATCCAGAGACACGCTGCGTGCCTGAAGCGAGAAGAAATAAGAAGAGCGGGAAGTTAAACAGAGAGTGACGAGGAAGAGACAACTCAAGAAAAACGAAAGATGGCTACTGCTGAGTAAAGGAAGGACCGAAATAAGGTGATTGGAGGATGCCAACTATACATCTGCACCGCTCCTGACCAGGCCCGTCCTGTGGCCAAGAAGGCATACACACCGATCCTGGGCCCAGGATCGGCCTGGCCAAGATCGGCGACGCCCTCTAAGGGGATACGGAGCCTGAGAGGGCGGCTGGACAAGAAGAGATCGCCCAAACAGCGGCCGAAGGGAGCAGCGAGCGGCTGCGAGTGGTCACCCAGTGTCAGAACGGGGCGCGGTGCAGAAGAAGGGCAAGGAAGAGCAGACACGCGGAGTTCAGAGGCGGATCTCCCCCACTGGCGACCCCAAAGGTAGACCCAGCTAGCCTCAAAAGGCCCCCAAGCAAACTGGGGCGGTCTCAACAACCCAACCCTGTGGCGCAGAGCGCCCCAGAGGTGCCGTCAGTGTGCTGAACGGGAGGGAGGATGGAAGCGCGGAGGAGGAGGAGGAGGAGGAGGAGGAGGAGGGAGAGGCAGGAGGAGGGGGTCGAGGGCGAGGAGGTTAGGGAGAAGGAGGAATGAGGGAGGAGACGAAGGGAGGAGGATGAGGAGGGGCGATGAAAGAGAGAGAAGAGGAGAGGGAGAGGGGGGAGGAGGGCGAGGGAGGATGAGGAGAGGCGAAGAAGAGGGGGCAGCTGGCAGCGAGCTTCTCGGATCCTTGCAGTCGCTACCGAAGTAGGTGCGCCCCTTCATGTGCGTCACGATCGAGCCTGGGGTGCGGGTGCAAAGGGCACACGCGAACGTGAAGTACGGACCCGTGGATATGGCGCGTGGGCACCACGACCCACGCATCGGGGAAAACAGCACCCACCGAAACACGAAGCCATGCCCCCTGATCTGGCGACGGGGCGCGTCGATTTCGCATGCAAACGGGAGTCTCTGCCAAAGAACCTGTGAAATCCCACCAGCACTTTGGGCGACAGGTGGTCTAATGAGAATCGCTTTCCTCTTCCATAACCCATCTTCCCTTCGGGGAGGGGAACCCTCCCCCTCCCCTCCCTGAGGTTTTTTGGGAGGGGTCGCGAGGTGTTTTCAGCCCCTGGGAGGGCCAATGTTTGACACCTCTCACGAGGATCGTGGCGGGGGAAGTCGAATACCCCCCCTCTTTTGACCGACCGCCTCCAAGATGGCCCCAAGGCGCCCTCCAGAGCCCCCAAGAGGCCCCCAAGAAGGCTGCAAGAAGCACCCGAGAGGCACCCACGAGGCCCCCGAGCAGCCTCAAAGAGCCCAAGATGACCTCCAAGATGGCTCAGATAGCCCAAGCTGGTTCAAGATGTCTCCCAAGATACTCCAAGCATCCCCAAGACCGCTCCGAGACGGCTCGAGATGGCCACGGAGCCTCCCAAGCCTCCCTCCGTCAACTCTCATGGGCATCGTTTCTGGATGGGCTGGCGGGGGTACTTTTTTGGTCGCGGGCGGACGCGGATTCGCAGTCGCCGAGCTGAGAGGTCCGGGCCACGGGCCTGTCAAATTAGCAACGCGCAAGCCTAAAAGCACAGCGGCCGCGCCCGCACTCAGAAGCTGCCGACGGTGGGGCCGCGGGCTGAGAGGGAGCTGGCTGAGCTGACTGCAAGCCGCAAGGGTAGCTGATGCACCATGCGAATGAATGGCTCCAAAACGACAGAAATGAAATAAGTCCTGCACGCCAGGAGAACATGATCAGCACTGTATCTGCAAACCACACATCAGCCTAGCGGAGCGCTTCCACCGCCGGGCCAACCCAGGAGGCGGCGCGCTACCAGGAACGCGGAGCCCGAGGCAAGCGCAGTCGAACTCAGGGTACCGTGGGCGAGAGTGACCAGGCTGGCGGGGGTACGTTTTTTGGTTCGCGGCTCCAAGGCGAGGGACAGGGAGCGAGCACAACGTCCGGGGCGCGCTGGCGGGGGTACGCGAAGAGTTAAGAATTCAACTCTTGGAAAAACAGATCCGACCAGGATCACCCCAGTTGCCGCGCATCGGCCTGCACGCGTAGCAGCGCGTTCTCAACGAGAACTCCACTGGGGATGCTTCTCATAATATGCGTGCCTGGCTTCATCAAATCAAACCGCTCGCCATGAACGTTTTGAAGATGAGGCTTGCTGGTGGCAACCACGCCTCCGGCTGCACCAGCCATGGAAGCTGCATGAGAAAACGTCAGATATGACGTCGGCCAACCCGGAGGATACGTCGGACTGGGCGTCGGGCTGGGCGTCGAGAGTGGCGTCGGGAAGGCCGTCGGGCAGGGCGTGGGGAAGGCCGTCGGGAAGGGTGCGGGGTAGGGCGTGGGGAAGGCCGTCGGGAAGGGCGTCCGAAAGGCGTCGGGTAGGGCGTCGGGTAAGGCGTCGTGTCAGGTGTCGGAGAAGGCGTCGGGTAAGGCGTCGGGCAGGGCGTCGGAAAGGCGGTCGGGAAGGCCGTCGAGAGGGTGTCGGGTAGGGCGTCGGAAGGCCGTCGGGTAGGGCGTCAGGAAGCCCCTCAGGGCCCCCTAACAGAGCCCCAAGAGGGCCCAGAGAGAGCCTCGAGGACTCCCCAAAAAGGCCGCAAGAGAACTCCCGAATGGCCCATTTAAGCAGCCAAGGGGATCCCACGCCGCAAAGTCCGCGAAGCATTCATGGTTGACTCCTGGGTCTGCTCAGGCGTATCCCGAGCTTCGGTTTGACGGCTGCCTGTCCTCTTTATTTCACTGCTTGGCCTTATACGTCCCTGATCAAATCAACTCGCCTGGGCATCGTTTTGGATAGGCTGTGGTAGGGATACCCGACGCGTCCAGAATTACGGGAATCGTATGTGATGACTGTACGATACTCCTGCCCCATGTGCTAGAGATTAGCGTTCCCTGGAGCTCTCTGGAGGTCTCTGGAGGCCTCCGGAGGCCTCTTGCAGTCCCCCAACAACAAAATCCTGACGCGAAATACCCAGCCATATGCAAGCGTAAAAACCGTCAGGCAGGCGGCACGAAGAAAGGCGAGCTCTATAAAAGGCTAAACAACGTGTGAGGGGTGTGCCACAATGGGGCGCTGCCGCCGTGCGAAACCTGCCGTCAGGGCATTCGGTGGAGCTCCCTGCCGGGCCAAGAAACGTGTGAGGGGTCCGCCGACATGGAGGCGGGTACCGCATGCGAACCCTGCCACTGGGGCCGTTGGTTGGGCTCCCTATAGGGCCATGAAACGTGCAAGGAGAGTGCCGAAATGGAAGCGGGTACTGCATGCGCGAACCCTGCAACTAGGGGGTTTTGGTAGAGCTTCTTGATGTGGGGTCACGAAGCGAATGAGGAGTGTGCCGGACCGCAAGCGGTTACCGCATGCGAACCCTGCCATCGAGGCCTTAAATAGAACTCCCTGAGGCGCCACGAAACGTGTGAGGGGTGTGCTGGAATTGACATGCGGAGGCAGAGGCAGGGATAGGAGGGAGGAGAGGTCCAGGGCGGCGCTGTTTCACAAATGAAGACCCAACTCAACACAAGACAGTTGGGAAAAGCGCTCGGAGAACATCGACCCTTGATCCTCAGTCCTTCCTGGCCAGCAGCGTCGGGAAGAGAGGTGGAGGGCGGCGCTGTCCTCAAACGCGAGGACTCAACTTAACACAGGATGGTTGGGAGAATCGTTCGGAAAACGATCCTTCCTGGCCAGCAGCGTCTCCGCTAGTGCACCCCTCCGCACCGCACGGCGTTCGCAAGCGCGGGCGGGAGAGCCTCCGTCGGATCCGACCTCCACCTTGCCCGCGGCGTCGCCAGCTGTGTGCCGTTTTTCTTCACGCATCGGTCTTGCGCGTCCCGCCGCGCTCCCCAGCTACTCGTCGCTCCTCGATGCTCGAGGGCCGCGGATCGTAGTTTCTCCTAGCGTTTGGCAATGTTTCGAACCTCCAGTGACCTGTGGAGGCCTGGAGGCTGGGGACCTCCAGGGGCCAGCGGATGTCTTCGGAGACCTCCAGGGACCTCCTTTCCCTCCTCCTCCTCCGCCGCAGCCTCCTCCTCCACCTCCTCACCTGCTTCTTCGTCCTCCTCCTCCTCCTCCTCCTCCTCCTCCTCCTCCTCCTCCTCCTCACCTGCTTCCTCCTCCTCCTCCTCCTCCTCCTACTCCTACTCCTCCTACTCCTCCTCTTCCTCCTCCTCCTCCTCCTCCTCCTCCCCGCCTCATCCTGCCTATATTATCCTCATCCTCCTCCTCCTCCTCCTCCTCCACCTCCTCCTGCTACTGCTGCTGCTGCTGCTGCTCCTCCTCCTCCTCCTGCTGCTGCTGCTGCTGCTCCTCCCCCTCCCCTCCTCCTCCTCCTCCTCCTCTCCTCCTCCTCCTTCCTCCTCCTCCTCCCTCCTCCTCCTGCTCCTGCTACTGTCCTGCTCCTGCTGCTGCTGCTGCCCCTGCCCTCCTCCTCCTCTCCTCCTCTCCTCCTCCTCCTCCTCCTCCTCCTCCTCCTCCTCCTCCTCCTACTCCTCCTCCTCCTCCTCTACTGCTGCTGCTGATGCTGCTGCTGCCCCTTCTTCTCCTCCTCCTCATCCTCCTCCTCCTCCCCCTCCTCCGCCTCCTGGTCCTCCTGATCCTCCACATCATTATCATCAGGATAATCGTCATCCTCATCCTCATCCTCATCATCATCAGCATCATCATCATCATCATCATCATCATCATCATCATCATCATCATCATCATCATCAGCAGCAGCAGCAGCAGCAGCAGCAGCAGAAGCAGCATCATACTCATCATCATCAGCATCATCATCATAATAAACATCATATTCATCATCAGCAGCAGCAGCAGCATAATAATAATAATAAGAATCATCAGCATCATCATCATCATCATCATCATCATCATCATCAGCATCCTCATCATCATCATCATCATCATCATCACCAGCAGCAACAGCAGCGTCATCATCATCAGCTTCATCATCAGCATCATCATAATCAGCATCATTCAGCAGCAGCATCCGGTTCATCATCATCATCATCATCATCATCATCATCATCATCATCATCATCATAAGCATCGTCATCATCATCGTCATCATCATAATCATCATCATCATCATCATCATCAGCAGCAGCATCATCATCATCATCATCATCATCATCATCATCATCATCAGCAGCATCATCATCATCATCATCATCATCATCATCATCATCATCATCATCATCATCATCATCATCATCATCATCATCATCATCGTCAGCATCATCATCGTCATTATCATCATCAGCAGCAGCAGCATCACCATCGTCATCATCAGCAGCAGCATCAGCATCATCATCAGCATCGGCATCATCATCAACAACATCATCATCATCCTCCTCAGCATCAGCATCATCACTATCATCACCATCATCAGCATCGTCATCAGCATCAGCATCATCATCAGCAGCAGCATCACCATCAGCATCACCATCAGCATCAGCATCATCACCATCAGCGTCGTCATCATAATTAACATCGTCGTCGCCACTGGCGTCGTCGTCATCGTCGCAATCATCATCATCACCACCAGAAGCACCATCATCATCAGCATCCTCATTAGCAGCATCAGCATTAGCATCAGCATCATCATAATCGTCATCACAACCTCATCATCATAATGAGCAGCATCAGCATCACCAACATCATCATCATCAGCATCATCATCATCAGCATCATCATCAGTGTCAGCATCATCGTCAGCAGCATCAGCAGATTCGTCATCATCGTCCTCCCCCACCTCCTCATCATGATCAGCATCATCATCATCATCGTCATCATCAGCATCAGCATCGTCATAAGCAGCAGCATCATCATCATCATCACAATCATCATCAGCATACTCATCGTCATCATCGTCATCTTCACCATCAGCAGCAGCATCAGCACTAACAGCAACAGCAGCATTATCATCCTCATCCTCATCATCATCGTCAGCAGCAGCCGCATCAGCAGCATCATCAACCTCATCATCTTCAGCATCATGCGAATCCTCCTCCTCCTCCTCATCCTGCTCCTCATCATCATAAGGATCATCGTCATCCTTAGCCTCATCATTATCGTCATCATCACCATCATCATCGTCATCATAAGAATTATGATCTTCGTCGCCACTGACGTCGTCGTCATCATCATCCTCATCCTCCTCCTCCTCGTCGTCATCATCACCACCACCACCACCACCAGCATCGTCATCATCAGCAGCATCAGCATCATCATCAGCATCATCATCATCAACATCATCATCATCCGCCTCCTCCTCGTCCTCCTCCTCCTCGTCCCCCACCTCCTCATATCATCCGCCTCCTCCTCCTCTTCCTCCTCCTCCTCCTCATCCTCCTCATCCCCCTCCTCTGTCACCTCCTTTATTCCTCCTCCTCGTCCTTTTCATCCTCCTCTCCCTGCTCCCGCAAGCCCCAGACCTCTCCAGGGGTGCACAAAAAGAGCGAGCAATTTCGGAGTTCACTGTCATCGAAGTTCGAGCCTCGAGCCGAGTCCTCCTTGGATTGTTCCTCGACATGGCAATGGTCTCGTGATACGGCGAACCGAAAGATGTGGCACCTTTGATTTATCCAATTTCGCCTGCATCCTCCTCCACCACGTCCCAGCATTCCATATGAAAGTGCCTGCAGGCAGCCTCGGAGACGCCCGAGGGCTCGGAAACACGACAATCATGCGGGCGGCGTGCGGTATTCCCGAGTTGTTCCCTGCCACTTTCGGTCACCTGGGCAAGGTGCGCCATCGCCGTCATTCTGTCGCAGTGTCATGGGCACGCATGACATCGCGTCATCAGGCGAACTCGGACGTTCCATGGTCAAAGCAAAACATGTTGCCGCCCTTCGTCTTCACACTAGCCCTTTCGCTTCCTCATTTCGTTCCGCTCCGCCGCCTCCTCACAACCGCCCTCTTCCTCCAGAGATGCCCACGCAGACGCCTCTGAAATCATTTGAACCCCGCCGACTTCAACGACGCTCCCTCTTCTGCTCCTCCATCTCCTCCTCTTCGGTCGCTTCCTCCTCTTCATCCAACCCCCGGCGGGTTGCCGAGGCGGCCGCGCGGGTCCTCGAAGACTCGGCTCCCGGCCTGCGGGCCTGAACCTTGCAGATGAGTATGTGCGGCGCACTGCCCAGGAGCGGGACCGAAAGAAGAGGTCGCAGCGGCAGCACGGGCCCCGTTAAAAAAAAAGAAGTGCGCATGGAAAACCACCAACAGATTCTGAGGGGCGGGGAGGATGACTTCTACTATGTACACGGTGCGATCGCTCAAAGGATACCCAACTGAATTGTGAAGTAAACTGAGAAACTCTGCGCAGGACCACTAGCGTGCGAATGAGCCGGGTTCACGAATACTGCCCGTCACTCTACGGTACACTGGGGAATGTCAGCCCAGGCCCCACACAGCGTCTTAACAATGGCTGATCACCTGGACGGTAAAGGGAAAGGCCACGGCTTGAAACGCACGCCAGCAACAGCGACAACAGCGACAACACGGCAGCGTTCAAAGCACTTGCGGCGCAGCGCTCGCCACCCTTCCACGCAAACACAGGGCAACCCGCCTCCCAGCTGCAACTTCCTGCTGGCGTGGGCCCGTTGCTGCAAAAGTGTCGGGGGATCTTCGATGCCCCGCGAGAGAGCCAACTAGGGCGCGCGCGCACGACGCCGGCTTCGGCAGTCCCAAACCATCAGCGCCCGCGTGGGATCCGCGATGTTTTTTTTTTGCGAGGGCGAGAAGATCTCGTGCTCTGGATGCCCGCCGACCTGTATCCAGGTGCCGCTTGGGCAGCAGTTGAACGCCATCATGGCGCATCAGATTGTTCCCTGGGTCCTACTTGACATCCCCGAGCGGGGAACTCTAGGTCACTGGTGGGGCAAAATGCTTAGGTATGCGCAAAGGCGGCGCCACGTCCTATCCCAGACACCCAGAAATGAAATTTCTGCATCTAGCTTCTCAAAGTATTTCTCTGGGGGGGATCACAAGATGCAACAAACATCATCAGCCAGGCCTGGAAAGTGGAGGGAAACGCGCGCGCCCGACGTGGAGGCACGCTGACAGCTGCGGCCCTGCACGGACCCCCGCCGGCGCCCGCGGAGACAACCCGACAGGTCGCTGAAAAGCGGACGGCCAACAACACTTCCGATGATTATTGAAGGGGCCCTGGGACACACAAATGAATACACACAAATAAAAGGATCCCCCATATTTTCAGGGTTTCTGTCTTCCCCCCCACTGCCCATATTTTCCCATATTTTCTGGGGAATCGACGATTAATTGTGTCTGTGTGTTTTTTCTCCTCCTGATTTTAGGCCCCCAAGGGTCGAAATCTCCAAGGCCCACCTGACAGCGCTGACAAAGCATCTGGGCCGCCCATCGCCTCTCGGCGCGAAGATCCCCGGGCGCGGCGGCGAAAGCTCGCCGAACAGCACCTTGCCAGTGGACATGCGCACCACACGAGCACGCAGAACGTCCACTCCGCGCGGCGCCGTGTGCAAGGCAGCGGCAGGAAGCTAGCCAGGACCAGGGGCCCGATGCTGCACGCGGCCCAGCAGGGCCACAAGCGCCGGGGGAGGGGTGTCCAGGGGCCCTTCGCGCGCACGGGGCGCCAACTCAGAAACCCCGAAGCACCGCGAACTTCAGGCGGCTTCCGCGCGGAACTGGCCCCAGCGCTAGACCAGGGCTGCTACGATGTTATACCATTTGATCGAGCAGCGAAACCAGATGCCCGCAACGCCCGTTCATCACAAGGGTTCCAGATAACCTCTGTCCTCCTCGTCCTCTCCGCAAATTCCGTAGACTTTGCTGTTCCTGTTGGTTTCGTCATTGACCGGCAGCCCTGGCGAGGCGGCTCACAATTCACCCGGCGACGGGGCCACGTGGCTCCGCGGCCAGACGCGAAAAAACGCCAGGGCACCAATCGAACCTCGCGGCGCACCAGTCACGCCGAGAAGTTCACAGGCAAGGCGGCGAGACAAGACCAAAAACAAGGCGAGCAGCACTGCGGACAGCGCAACCGTCTGTTTCGCGTGCTTCGCAGCTTCACGCACCAAATCTCAGCCATGAAGGTAGCCTCCAGGGGGCAGAATGTCTGGGGGCTCGCCTGCGATCGCGATCTTGAGGAAGGCCAGGAACTCCTCCGAGGAATGCAATCATCCCAGGCGTGCAAATTGCCTCCCCTCGGCTGTCCCCGAGGTCTAAGATTCACTTGCACGGCCGCGTGGTCGAAAATGTTCTTACATTGCAGGATCTCTGGCAGTCCCACCCCCTGCCCACCTTGAGAGCACCTGCTAAGAAGCCCGCCAAGAAGATTCACGAAGGCGCGATATGTGAACGACGCGCGAAGTGAGACAGGCTCAGCCTGGAAGACCGATCAGAGCCCCTAGCACCTCCCTCCAATCACGGGCATGCGGAGTCGCGTGCCAAACTGACCATCAGGGCGTAACGACATGGACTCCGCTTGGCCGAAGTTAAAATCGTCAATGACCCAAACGGTGTAATTCCGCGGATCCTCACGGGCAGCTCTTCAGTCTCGGCACTGACCTGGAATGAAACACCCAACAGGTCAAGACAACACAAGCCACTGCTATGCATATTGAAATACGTCTTGACCGCAATACTGCTCGCAGCCCGAATCAGCGCTACTCCCCCCAGGAACAAATACAATGGAGGAGATGAGGAGGGCTGAGGGAGGCACACAACAACCTACGCTGCAAAGCAAGCCCAAACTTACGATAACACGTTACAACACAGCCAGTTCTGAGACGCGAGAGGTTACTGGAGGAAGACAAGAACAAAGACGGGAAGAACTTGAAGCGATGGAGGAAATCCTGGTTGACAGCAGCGGCGCCGCGCACCTCTTGCACAGCCGTCAGAGCACCAGGGCGCAGAAGCTTCCTGGGGAGGCAAGCGTGCCCAGCCTGCGTCGGTCCTCATGGTGAAGGGGAGCAGCAGCATTCCAAGTTCCGAATCGAAAAGGTACAACGCCCGTCTAGGCGCCACTCCATAAAGCGCGAATCCTGCTCGAGAGCCCACTCCG